TATTCTAATGAGTTAGTCATCCATCCAATTTGTAATACAGTCTAATACTCTACTTATGCAAGTTGAATACCGTTTAGATCTGGAAGGTATACATTGATAATAAATCTTTGTAATACAAGTAACATTATCATTTAACTCTACATTTAATGGCGTTAGATGAAATTAATTAAACGTTTTTCATGAAATTATAATGACGTGCACATCTGGTTTGTAYATTTTTTAGTTTTTTACATTAGTATAAAATTAAGAATTCGTGTCTATAATATTATGTTTTAAAAATAATAGAAGACTTAAAGGGATAAATATTATTAATTAGCTGACCTAATTATAAAATAATTTGTTTGTGCATATACAAAGTAAATGTCAATCTTATGATAAATACATTGAAAGATAGACTTCAGCGTGACCCTAGATTAGATGTTATACAAATCTGTTTAAAAATTACAAGAGTCTATCCAGTACATTAGATTACATAATCAGTGAATAACATAGACTTTTAACAATGAAACATAAGTTAAATAACTCTTACAATCGGATAATATAAAGAGTATAATCTGAGTTTAAAATTGTTGTATACAGTTCCACAAAGAAAATTCTTCTGAAGTATCTATAATATGTTTTAAACTACACAATAACACATATTAATAAATAAACATCTAAATAATTTCACAAACGAAACATATTTATGTTAATTTAAATTTAAAATCAAAGCTTTAGAATTTAAAATACAACAGTAATTTTGCATACCGAAAACTTCTATGCATGTACTTTCAAAATAAAACTGAAAAATTCTTTGATGTTAAAAATAATGTAATTTCGTAATATTTGATCTAACCAAATCGATGTTCTAGGATAATATGAATTGTACTAAAACAAAATATAAAATGTAAACAGAAAACGATTTATACTGATGGCGTAAAGCAAAGAAAATTCATTATATACCACAAGTACGTTATTGTTATTATTATTATTATTATTATTAATTACTGAGAACAGTAATGCATTACAAATCTTAATATAAAATATTGATAATGCACACTATAAAATATTTATTTAATTGTTTAATTTATTCAAATTCAAACAATATTATTATTCTTATTTAAATTTTAWATTTACTTCGTAAGTGTTATTATCTTTGTTTTATTTATTCAGACTAATTTTCTATTTTCGGTCTAGGACAAGTGGGCGCCGCCAACTTAGAACGACCAACTCAGTGCAGCCAACTGAGCCGTAGGTCCGTAGGGACAAGTAGGCGCGAGTCAAGTGGACGTAAATAAATGAAAATTTGGTATACTGCCTACCTTCTAGAGTATCTAAGAATAAAATAGTTATGACAACATCATTTAAATAAAATCAAAAATAATTAATTACCTAGTCAGTTTTTTGTACATTCCTGAGTCGGTAGGCCGTCCCACTATATTTTGCTGTACTGCGTGGTGTACATGCATGGGGCAATCAGATAAAGTATTATTATATCAATAATAATATAGGATATCTCTGTATCGGTTTATGAACGGAAATATGACCTAGAGTCATATCTGCACGAACGTCGTTACATGTATAAATCGCACATCATGTAAACGATGCTTATAGGAAACTCGTAAATCTAAATGCACGCGATTAACGACACATGACGTAAACAAATACGATAACGAAACAATAACAAATAATAATAAGTGTACAATGATTGTGTATAGGHATGGATCACATTCAGTCTTCGATGTAGTCGTGTTCAGTTCAGACATCATTCAACATGGAAAACATCAAATTGCAGCGAAATCGTGAAAAGTTTTATGAAAACGGATTTTTGTATGTATTTGACAAATTATTGGCAAAACTGAGTTTTGGCGATGTGAAAAAAAAAACGACATTGTAAAGCTCCGTGTATATAGTTAATGGTAAAGTTGTAAAAACTTTAAATAGRCATAATCATGAACCATCTGCAGTTAAAGTAGTAGCGGACAAAATTGTAACAAAAACTAAGAAAAGGGCTCTAGAAACGCAAGTATCGTCATTCTAAGTAATAGACGAATGTACTCAAAATACTGATATCGCTTGTCGTGGAGTTCTTCCTAATCAAGAAGGTTTAAAAAAACTTATCAGAAAAAAAGCTATGAAATACATCAAGCTCCATCAAATCCTACAAATCTTGCTGACCTCGAAATTCTTGAATATAATACAATGTATGAGTCAGAACCAGGAAAAACTGAAAACTTTTTGCTAGCTGACAGAGGAACCGGTGCAGATAGAATCCTAATATTTGGACGTCAATGAAATCTGGAAATATCGTTAACTTGCGATGATTTTTTTTATGGACGGAACATTTAAAATTGCGCAATTCAAAATATAATTTAAAATTTATTCAAATTTAAGGCATTCACCCTATCTTCTATGCACCGTTACCTAATAAATATAGAGAAACATACGAAAAATTGTTTGGTATGATTAAAATGTTACTGCAAAATCTTGATCCAAAATCTATAACTTTTGACTATGAAATGGTTTTTTTTTAAAGTGTTTCAGATAAATTTCCTACTGCAGAAATTCCAGGTCGTTTTTTTCATTATATGAAAAATAATAATGAAAAAAGTTATGTAAATTAGGCCTAACAAATCAATATAAAAATGAACCGAACTTTTCATTGTACATAAAAATGATTACAGTTTTGGTGTTCGTCCCAATTGAAGACATAGATAATGCTGTGTGATCATTACCTGAAAACTTACCAGATGACGTGCAACCAATTTTAGACTGGTTCGAGGACAACTAAGTCGGAAGTATGAATAGTAGAGGTAATGGACGAAGACAGCGTTTGTGTCCTCACGAAATGTGGTATATCTACAACAGAACATCAACTAGTATTGACATTATTCCTGTTTGTTCAATTTTATTTTTCAAAACTAATCAAGTCAATGCTGTATCTGCACCATTTTTACTTATGACATCTTGGAAGATTTTCAAAAATGTCGTCTTTGCTTAATAATTTGTGAATTGAAGGATGGAATATAAAAAATTAAAAAATTCTTTAACTTATAAATGTATGTTATAATATAATTTATCTACAAATTGGCTTATTCATATCAGTTATTTCTACATAAATTTATTATTATTTATATATCACTGAATCTACATCTATGTTACTTAAATTGCCAATTCAACAGTC